CTTTTAAACGTCCAGATTGATAAATCCTTGAAAACTGCTAGACTTGATTAGTTTTGACTGGGCAAAGTTCTGTATTATGTTCTACAATATGAACTTAACAAGAGGCTTCCTCTAGTTCTGTGTAAAATTATAGAGCGACACGAAGGTAAGCATTATCGTTGTTGTTGTTTTTTTTAATTGTCGGATTATAATTAAGTATCAATGAATGACAGTTTTGAGTTGACTGTCATGGTGTGCGCATGAACGAGTGTGAAATACATGCTAATTACGTTGCTTTTTCCTATCACTTATATTGGGCACTTTTTGCATTTAAATTGGATTATTCTGACTGCTGACATTGAAAATCATGCATGTCTTGTTTCGAGGGTATCGGTTAATTTCATGATTGCCGTTTTGACAGTGTCTGCTTGCATATTTTATTCATGTTCGGTAGCCTAATTCTCTTTAATGTAGGCTATTCGCCCCGATTTGATCCGTTTACCTGCGAAATGTCTTATTTATAATTTATATTAACCTATTTTGTCTCAATATTTAGTTTTAAGGAGTTAAAATGGCCCTTATCAACCTTGATTTACATATTCAATAACATTATTTTGACGGTTAAAGTTTTGGGCGGTTTTTGTGAGCTTTTGGCCTGGAAATCGTCCATCCAATCTGGCAACACTGCGTGCGACTTCCACTAGCAGCACACCTGCCGAAGCACCTCAAACCTACCGACGCTACAAGATCAGCACGTGCATTCAAGCACCTTCTCAGGTTCTTAGTCTACTTTGCGATTGCCATTTAGGAGACCCTCAGTAACTTGTAACACACTTCTTCAGTCCTCTTAGAGTAAGCTCAATTGTAGTAGTACTTTCTAAATCATCACACGAAAGGTTTGAAGCTACCATCTTTCAGTCATCAATGATTCCCTTTGAGCTAAATTATTGACCTGTTTCCCTTACATGAGATTAAACGACTTTGACAACAAAAATACTTGTCGACATTTTTATCGTCGATAATGTCAAATAATGGTTTCAGCCCTAATGCGCAGTATTCAAGCAGGTCACGCGGACAGTGCACAGACCATCACAGAACACAGACAGCCAAAGAACACTTTGGGCTTAATACAGCAGCTGAGAGAGTGACAGCAAAATTGACATGCTCTCGATATTTTCCCCTCTTTTGGTCATAGAAACACTATTGGTTTTTTTTCTTTTGGTATTGGGGCAAATGGGAACTCAAATTATCCTATCATTCATCGACCTCAAATATGGTTTATCATTTGGAGTTGAAACAAGCAAGTAGTAGCAATTTTACATGGCTGCTCGCTAGAATGTTAAGCTAGATCAATGCGCCCTAGATTAGGCGGATTTCCAAGTGTTTGTGCAGCGTGTGGAAGCTATTTGCGCACTACTGCATGACATGGAGGCGCCGGAGTGATCACTGGCATTTTTTCCCTGATAACATTGGAAACAACTTATAATACACCATCATTTTTGCTTATACAGATAAAAGTAATATCATTAGACTGTTAATGGTGTACTTTTATTTGTATATAAATATATCACAATATCAACAAAACATTGTGCTTATGTAAAATAAATAAAACAAACAAGGTGTGCTTTCTGCTGTATCGGTCTCCATGAACTGGAGAGCATCACAAAAATATAAGCTATACCTGCCTTGCAGACATGAGAAATATATCTATAGAAAGCTTGAAATGTCTACTTTTGAATGAACCAATTCAAAGCCAAAACACTGATTATGCAATCTGTATGAGAGTGCATTTCTCTCTGAAGACTGTAATGTGGAGATGGTGATCCATTTAATCATTCAGCATCCATTTAATCTTTGCAGCCATCACGGACTCAGAAAACATTAGTTTATTAATAAATAATTAAAATATCTCCATACTATTTTCCCCAACACATTCATAGTCATTACTTTTGCCGGTGCTTTGCAGCAAGCTTTGTGTGCGCAATTAAGCGTGTAATAGGCTATATATTAAAGGCTCATTATGGTTTAGTTCCCCCTCCAGTATTCACGCAAATAAATTAACATAAACGTGTGATTAGTTGCCTAGAAAAATCTTTAATTTAGAGATCGACTTCAGCAGTCACATAATTCAACTACAGTATATCTCTAGACTAATATCACCCTCAAAAACGTAAAAGTCAGCTTATGTTAGAAATGCACCAACAAGCGGAGACCTCAAACTGAAGACTGCCTGTTCTCGTGCATGGCAGTTCCTGGTGCAATGGAGGAAAGGAGACTGGTTTCAACATAGATCTGCGTCAGTTCTCTGGCGACTTTACTGCCCACACCTCTTCAGGAGAGAATAAACCTGCTGTCAGATGTTATAGTTGCTACAGTGATTCATTCATAAAGAAAGCTGCCCTTATCAGTTCAGTTTGCTGGTTTCTTGCAGTACAGTGTGAGATTAATCAGCTGAGGAACATGTAAATCTACACTCATGACTTGTCTTTGCAGTGTTTTTTGTGGCCTAATGTCCTCAAACTACATGCTATCAGTTTCAGGAGCCTGACTGTCTCTGTAAAACCAGCCATGGTTTCAACATGATAATATACACTGCTCTCTGCGCCACCGCTTCAATCAATAGCACTGCCGCAAAATCTTTACAAGGAAAACAACATGTGAAGGAAGTCCTGTTTTTTTAAGACCCAAGCAGGGCAAAATAAAGTGGAACTACAAAGCATTGGGCTTCGATGACACTATTTCAGAATGTCACTGCATCAGAAATGATCAGAGCAAGAGTCAGGCAGATGCAGCAGCAGGGATATTTCACAATCACAAAGCTGCTTTATACATATTTCAAACCTAAGAAAAGTATTTTCGTGCTCTATTTCTTGGTTTACTATTTTGTTATCCAATGCAACGACACTCACACAAGTCTTTCAGGGCCAGGGGTGTTTTCAAAGAAAACTAGAAGCAGGGATGCTTTGAAAGCTTCATTCAGTGATGGTGTTTTGGAAAGTGCAGCAAATGCACGCTGCAAAAACAAACACGGCCATGAGGTGATCATTCATCGAAACATCTGCGGCACACAGCGAGCAGCACGGAGCTCATGTGACATGAGCTGGACCTGGACGCGTGCTCCTGTCACGGTCACATGTCCTCAGCGCTGTTGATGCTGATGCTGATGCAGCCGTGCAGTGTTGCCAGATTGGGCGGTTTTGAATTTGATTGTGCGGGTAAAAACTGGCTTGGGCGGGTGAACAAAATTTGGGCTGGTTTGGGGTCAGTTTGGCAGTTCTCAAACATATAAATTGCATTGGCTAATTGTTTAACAAACAAGCCCAAGTATGCATGT